GAACTTAGAGGAAAACGCAATAATTGTGTTGGATAATGCGCCTTATCATTCTCGAAGAATAGAGAAGGTCCCAACAACGGCTTCAAGGAAAGTTGATGTTCAAAATTGGCTCCGCTCGAAAAATATCAACTTTGAAGAAGCAATGCTGAAAGTACAATTATTAAGAATTGTCAAGGATCACAAGGCGGAATATCAAAAATACGCCATTGACGAAATGGCAGCAAGTCAAAATAAAACTGTGCTCCGTTTACCTCCATACCATTGCGAGCTCAATCCCATTGAGCTCATATGGGCAGAGGTTAAAAATTATATAGCTAAGCACAATACAACTTTTAAATTTTGTGACCTCAAAGGACTTTTCAAAGAAGCACTAGAATTAATAACAGCGCAAAAATGGGAAAACTGTATTAAGCACGTGAAAGACAAAGTTGAAAAGAGAATGTGGGAACTGGACAATATTTTAGAGGAACAAGTCGAGCCATTCATTATTGACGTTGGTGCTTCAGGCAGTAGCGATGATGAAAGCTCATCAAGCTCATCTTTCCAATAAAAGATGTCGTTCATCAAATTGGTTAAGTTATAAGTAATTATAAAGCTACTGTATTTTTTAATTAATTATTGACATTTTTGAACCCATTTTGGCAAAACCTATTCAAGATTCTACTTTCTGACAATGTTCAACCATGCACATTTTTTTACGTTTTGAACGTTTTAATTTGGTTACATATTTACCTAGAAATCAAAAAATATACTAATCAATATTCTAAAAGCAATTTTAAGAGATATACGATTATTTTTAATTTAGGCTAATTTAAACGCCATTTTGAGATTATATTCGACTGTATTTCACCAAACATCAGGCGGCATCCGAAGCTGGAAATCGAAGCGAAAATTTTGAAACCCTTATGTATATTTACATCATTATATATTTCTTACCCCACCCCCACATGATCCTATATCCATCACCAATCGTATACACATCGAATTGTGCTAATTTACTACAAAGTTACGCAAAGCAGCATCTACTATCTAAAATATGTACTGCGTGACTGTTAATACGTCCCTGCCGAATGTTACAGCGTTCGATGATCACGTGGTCTTGTTTATGTCCGGTCTATCTCTTATCTGAATATACTGTAGATCAGGTTGTGGGATCTCTGATATCCAAATCCATTGGCATTAAAAGCCATCAAGAGTAGCTAGTCACGGTGTTCAGACATTTGGGCTTTAATGCACATGAGATTTGAACCTAACAAATGAGACAGATTTGAGAGAAAGGTATTATATTTCTCACGATGTTATGTCACGTTTTGACGTGCATTGCTGATCAGCAATTGACATGTGTTTCTGTTTATAATCTTGGACATCTTGGACAATCTCTTCTGGCTATCCAGATTACTCCCCATTGAGATCAAAGTTTGTAGCGAACACATTGTAGTTGTATACAGAACGCAGAGAGATCAGAATCCTTCGAACAGGCAACGTGCATTCAACATGGAAGCATTTTGTTTCAAGCATAAAGTGATTATACAGTGTCATGTATGTTTTCCGTTCATTACACCATTCGGCGTGTAGTACCTGCTGTTTAATTGTAAATTCTTCTTCTTCTTCTTGTCATCAATACCTTAGAACCATGTTACAATGAAAGCAAATAAGTCGACTTGTAATTGTATAGAGGTCATTTGTTATAATCAGTATGTAATGTGAATGTAAGCTTAATCTTTTACTGTTTACAATAAAAACAGGAGCTTGATGATATTAAGATTGATTTGGCTTGAACTGCAACACCATGCTGCTAGTTGTAGGAAGGTTAGCACGTTAAACCTTGCATTCCATTCTGATGCAATGTAACTTTGCGCACAAGTAATAGATGCTAATAAATAACATTTAAGAAATTGTCATCCTGACAGAGGGCACAGCGTGATTCAGAATTTGACGCCATTTTAGAACTGCTGGACTAAAATATTTACGAAAAGTGGCCTTGAGAAATTCTTGCGAACTAGTTTATAGTTTCTGATATGGCCGCTAGGTGGCGTAAGTCTAACTTCAACACACAAAGTAGCATTTTGCTCAAAAAACGTAATTCACATATATCCAAAATACCGAAAGTTATGGCAAATGTCTTGAAAATTTCATCCAAAGGAAACAAAGATAATAAAAGTTCCCCTACCCTAAACGGAACAAAATAGAGAAAAAATATATGGGACGTAGGGAAATAAGTGACCTGTTTGATCCAATACTCATTTGGTAAGGCTGCTCTTCTACAACTTTTATTTATTTATATAGTTATTGCTTTTATTTTGTCTCTGGTTTTGGATTAAGTTTCAATTACCTACTAACTTCATTAAAATTAGTGATATTTCAACTCTTAGTGTTTCTGTCTGTACATGCATCCATCTTCGGCGTCGTATAATTTTTGTTTGTTTGTGTAGGTTACTCTTTTTAACATATTTTAAAGTTTAACCATTTCCTTAACATAACTTTATTTGATATTTTTGTATTATGTAAAAATTTATTATCCGAATTTTGTAGCTCTGAAGAAGATATCAAATAAATGACGAAACCTCGGCTTCACGAGTAAAGTGCATTTTTGAGAAACACGCTTTTTAGTGTTAGCATTAGAAACTGTAAACTAATTCGCAGCAATTCCTCATGGCTGCTTTTGTCATAAATATGTCTATCCGGTTGTTTTACGTCGAGTGGTTAACGCCCCCTAGCGGCCATCTTAGAAAATCTAAACTAGTTCGCAACAGTTTCTCAGGGCCACTTTTCGTAAATATTTTGATCTGGTAGTTCAACGTCGAGCGATTCACAACATACAGCATGTATTATTCTGAATCACCCTGTATACATGCTCTGTAAGGGTGCCCAGCAGTGGCAGACTTAGAGGGGTCGAGCGAGGCGCACAGGTCTGCAATTTTTTTTTTCAAGAAAATGGTATATATTGCAGTATCTTGGTGTAAAAATTGCTTGCTTGCTAGACCTGAATCGTGACACGTGCCCCCTCCCTCTTATCATCTTCCTGAACATGCATGTTGTGACGTCTGCTCTGCTAAATTCACCCTGGTGCCCAGTCGGGCAACACCTCTTAAGTGTAATATTTTACGGTCAACTAGTTGTGTGCAATTATTATTTGCACAGTTTTAAGCTGCATAACCCTTGTACGGATCGTGTGCTCTAATGATACATCTTGTGAAGCAGATGTCATCATGCCTAAAAGATATCCAATTAAAAAAACAACGGCATCCGATATTTGAATAGTACGATTCTCTACAAGCTGGGTTCATCGACAGCAATAAAATTTCTCAACGCATACTATGTTCCTATTTAAGATTATGGACACGTATTTATCGACGGAGTGGCGGTATCTTAATTGGTTCCTTGGGACTTTTCGGCAGCCGAAAAGGTACATTTTCACATGTCCGAAGACCGCGTAACATTTCCCCGGACATCGTATACGTGTAAGCTCATTTGCATTAAGCTGTATACGAGTATGATGCTTCGTGGCGACACAGGTACGCACTTTAGAAAACCGCAACTCTATAACTGGTATAAGTGAGAACCATCATCAAAGTCATCCTTGCTATCAGATTCATCATGAACTTTGAAGTTAGTTGCCCTTTAGAATTGCAACAGTTGTAGAGGCTTCAAATGTTCATTCAATTTCTATTATCTGAATATAGTTTAGATTAAGGCAATTGTTGAGTGCACTGCAATAAAACGCTCCCTGTGGACTGATCCAAATTCTGATAGCTATTGACATTTGTCCAGCTAGTTTGTGAATATATCCATTTTCGGTAAAATATTATGTACCTTAGGTTCTTTACATCATTCATTGCAGACTTAACTCCGTCTTTACAGATGATACTTTCATAATTTACACTGACGATTTTCAATCTGCTTTATGGGTGCTTATGCAGATGATCCACGACTTTAATGCGGAAAACTTATTAACTACAAAAGATTTAATAAATAAAGATAAAGAGGGTGTTGTCAGATGTGCTACTAGCCACAACCTGTCATTAAATCCTAGTAAGTGTAATTCAATGTTATTTTGTAAAAAAAGATCTTCATATCACAAAAAGTTAAATCTTAACATAAGTATATGAAACGGAAATTTAGAATTCACAGCTAAATTGAAAATTCTGGGTTCAACGTTTGATGAAAATTTGAGACTTTATAATCATATCAACAGTATTATATAAAAATCTTATTCAAAATTAACAATTTTATGTGCGCACAAACACGTTATTGGCACTAACGTTAAAAAAACTCATATACGAGGAGGTACCCAAAAAAATAACCGGATTAGCATTGCAGTGGGCGGAGCTTATGTAGCACACATTTCTGCCCCTAGACGCGTACAGCGCAATTCATTACCAGTTCAGTGCGTCAGTTCCGAGCTAGCAGCCGTTGCGAGTGTATACTTGTGCGACTGCGACCCACCCGGACTTACTGTGCGATCATATTGCGATTTTCATCGCGATACGATCGCTATCTACGATGACGAGAATCGAGAAGCTGACAAGCCAGCTAAAGCAGAAAGAAGATGCTTTCATCATGCTTACAGAGCAGTTGAAGAACCTGGAAGAAGCTTTCATGCAGGCAAAACAGGAGATAGAGGAAGCCAAAGGGACGCTCCTCAAGGCGAAGAGGAAGGCAAAGAAGACCCTAGCAGTAGAGGAAGACGAGGACCAGAAGACCACAGCGGACAATGAGATGGATGCCCAAGAAGTGGACAGCCAGCAACAGGACGACACAGAAGAGCAGAAGACGTCAGCCGACAAAAGCGACACGGACTACAGTGTCGTCTCCACGCGGAAGTAAAGAGTAAGGGTTTCCTCCTTCGATGAAGACGATGCACCGAGGCAGCTAAAGAAGCCAGCTGCCACCCAGAAGAAGAGTCCTAGAGAAGCCAGGACCATCGTAGCCCCATGTCAGGAACAGGAGTTCCACCAATCAACATTGAGGGCACCGCTGATTGGTCATCCTTAAGCAGGATGATCAACAATAAGGGAATCCAATTCTCTAAGGCAAGGACGGCGGGAAATAGTGTGAAGGTGTTTACCAACACACCCGCAGACTACCGGCAGCTAGTTACCCTGCTAGACTCAATGAAGAGGCCCTTCTTCACCTACCAGCTGAAGGAGGATAAGTTGGACCAGAGGGTGATTCGAGGACTTACCAGAGAGATGGCTACCGAAGACATCAGAGAAGATCTAGTGAGCCAAGGGATCGCAGACGCCGAGGTTCAACAGATGAAGACCAGGAACACCAAGCAGCCGCTACCGCTCTTCCTCGTGAAGACGAGGATGGCGGAAAAGCTGCAGGAGGTCCAGAGGCTGGCCATGCTCACGGTCAGCTTCGAGAAGAAAACGAGATCGACCGAGCCCAGCCAATGCTACCGCTGCCAGCGGTACGGGCACACGCAGCGAAACTGCTGTCTCGCTGAACGGTGCGTCAAGTGTGGTGAGGATCACAACAGCACCAACTGCAGTCTGCCGACGCCGCCAACAGGGCAACGAAATGTCAAGTGCTGCCTTTGCGGAGAAGGACACCCAGCCAACTACAAAGGATGCAGTAAGGCCCCGAGGAAAGCTGCTGCTGCCTCCAAAGCAGCCTCCACCTCAAATAGGACATCTTACGCTGAAAAAGCGAAGAAAAAGTCCACTTCTGCCCCAGCAGCCTCCACTGCTACTGGAACTACGGCGCAGAAGCAACACGGCGATGACAGACTGCTAGCTATGATGCAAGCCATCATAACCCGCCTGGATGCACTCGAGGCCAAAATGCAAGACAAGCATTAGACCAGCAATGACTAGGACCAGGACCAACCAGGACCAGGACCCATCAGGACCAAGACCAACCAGGACCATAGCAAACCCTATATCGATGCTCGCTTAACGACATCGATAGAACTGTGCGAGGTAAAGGGAACCAACCCGGCGTTCCCAGAGACTGAAACACATGAGGAGACGTTGTAGCAGACCGCAGGTCACGCACAACACATGGCCTACCGAGACGCTGATGAGTCGGAACACGCGGAGGTTAGGGTTTAGTGGGTATTAGGTGGTCTCCTCAAGACAACCTGGAGTCCCACCAAAAAAAAAAAAAAAAGTACAGTGCCACCTGAGTTGTCGATCTGGCTTGTTTCGTTTCTTTGTAGTCATTATTTATTAAGCTTTAGTGAGCAACGTGCAGCTGTGAAATTTTGCTTTCTAATTGGTGGTAAAAATGCTGCTGAAACTAAATAGCTTACAGGTGTACGAGTGATATGCTCGATTTAAAAATGGCATGTCGATTGATAACAAACCTCGCTCTGGACGTCCATCAACTGCCTGAATTCGACGAAAATGTTAAAAAAATTCGAGAGCTTGTGCTTGCAGACCGTCGACTTAAATCGATCAACTATCCGTAAGTAGTGGGTTGTCCTGGAGTTCGATTCAGCAAATTTTGACAGAAGATTTGGGAATGAAAAGGGTTGCTGCCAAGTTTGTTCCTCGGGCTCTGACTGACAATAAAAAAGAACACCGAGTTAAAACATGTCGGCGACTTGATGTCGTGCTTTGAAACAACAGCTTGAATCTGATCCAAATTTTCTGTCAAAGATTATCACTGGTGATGAGACTTGGTGCTACGGTTATATCCCGGAAACGAAGCAACGGTCAAGTTAATGGAAGACCCATCGTCACCCAGTCCAAAAAAATGTCGTCAAGTCAAATCAAACATCAAACCAATGCTGATTTGTTTTTTTGACGTCAAAAGCGTAGACCATTCCATTTCGAGTTTGTTCCCCCATGTCACACTGTCAATCAGACCTTTCATTTGGAGGTTTTAAGACGAGTGCGAAACAGTATTCGGCAAAAAAGACCCGATTTGTGGCAGTCAGGAGACTGGTTCTTCCACCTCGATAATGCTCGTCACCATTCAATACTCTTCCAAAGATCTTTCTCATATAACGCTGTGAAATTATATAATCAGGTGAATAATGAGATAAAAAAATACGCAGTATTATTATTTAAAAAGGATATTTGGCACATGCTACTAGAAGAGTGATATAGCTAGTTTTACGTTCTGAGTTTGTAAGTCATTTACATTATTCTCTGAATTCCTGTATAAACTACTTTCTTAACAGGGTTAAAAGTAAGAGTAGCCATTGGCTGAATTTCAGCCTAATAAAGTCGGAATTATTATTATTATAAAAGTGAAAAGAAAAGTAAAATACAGGTAGGCAACCTGGGCTCCGACACTCCAAGCTGCTGTTCCATTAACAACTAGCCACTCCTCACACCGACCGTGAGATAAGTTACTCTTTTGTCCGCAAATCGTGTGCCCCAAGTAGGCGTAGGGAAGCAAGGATGACCGCTTTCTGCGTTCTTCCTGCTAAGATGCTTACCGATGCTCAGTATACCGGTATAGATTTAATTGCAGATAGCAGTGCATTCCTCATCCCACCGGATCCAGTGACCTTCACTAGCAGACTGACAGTATGGTCTGGCCAGAGCCTGCAAAGCTGATTGAGGAGCTCCTGATATTTGGTCCGTTTTTCATTGCCTTCCGTTCGTGGTCCAGAAGGACTATGTCGGGCTTATTCGCCTGCACCAGCTCGACCGTGGGAAATGAGTAATTCTAGTAAATCTGACATTTCACGTTCTCCACAATGGACTCAATATCCCTTGGATCCTCTGGAGAATAGTAGTATAGAACTCACAGAGTTGCGTTGTGTTTTGTTATTATTATTACTATTATTATACTTATGGACGACGACGGGACTTTTTCTCCCAAGAACCACTCGGGTAGCGACTAATCTTTCATGTTTAGGAATCGAGCTCCCCGATAGGTAAGATAACCACGCCCAGTTCTCAAAGTGATTTTGCTCCCTTCACTTCAAGAATAGAGGTCCAGGTATCTGTTACCTATTAGAACGGTATGACACAAATAATCTAAATTAAAAACTTCCAATATCCTGTACTGATTTTAGGTTCGCGCACCTTCACTTTTGATGTTTACATTAGCATAAATCCCGAACATCAACTTTGTTCGTTGAGCATGTCGGCACTACAACGCATACATTCATTAAAATTCTTTTTGGGTACACATTCAGAACCGCGCGATCGAATTTTTTACTCTTTTTGCCGGTTTGGCCGCAGCCGCCTGGGATCAAGAGCCAAAAAGTCCGTCAAGCACGCGCTGGACGTTCTTTTGTTTTCACCGGTCCGGCCTGCGGGATCCCGCCGCGGGCGTCAATGGCGGTTATATTTATACCGCTCGCATTTCTCTGCAAGCTTGCAAGTGCAATTTCTGCAGAAGCTGATACAGGGTGATTCAATAAACAGTGGCAACATTTCAATGCCGGAAAGTACACAAAAGAATACGTGAGAGCGTCCACCGCCACTGGCCTTATGGAAAAAATAAGTGCATTTTATAAAATACCATTCAAGATCATCACACACTATTTGTCGGTAGGGGAGCATCTCTGGACCCATATTTTTAGGAACTTTATTCTGTTATTTTTTTATGTAAGTACTTTCTCCCCTAGAAATATTGGCACGTCTTCTGAGGCACCCCTGTATATTATAACATTGTGATCAAGTCTGCTTTTAAAATAGAACGCCTTTATGTTTTTTAGGATCTTGGGTTAAAAGTGCACAAAACAAATAATAAGTCATGTGAAATTAAATGCTTTATCAAGAAATGTTACAGCTATTTTAAAAATGTCTGAGAGAGAGAGAGAATATACTTCTACTTTCTCCTCTTTTCGTGCAAGAAAAAAATATCTCCAAGTTTCTACGACCCTGGTGTACGTCCGGCCAAGAGAATTATTCTTAGTATATTACTTATTCCTACACTGGGTATTATCTTCACGAGAAAATTACCGTAGAAGATAATTTCGCGGTTAAAAGGACTTGTAAATGGAAGATTCGAACGTGACATGAATGATCTAAAATTAAAGGACTTCGTAGAATCATTATGGTAATTCCATTTTTAGGCTTCTTTAATAGATCATATGTTGTAGTATTTGCAGCCTATTTCTTTGGCTCCGCTCGTCCAGGAGCCCTTATTTCCTATGTCAGATCAGTATTAAACTAAAAATTAAGAAAAAAGGGAACATTTGAAGATACAAGTGGATAAAGGCGTCATGTAACATTTTTTTAAAATTGTTTTCTTTTTGCATTAATGAGTGATTCTTTCACTCTGTGATTACATTGTTGCAAAGACAAGATAATAATAAACTAATTAAACTAAATATATAAAATGTCAATAAAGTAAAAAGTTCCAATAAAAAATGTTTAAAGTCAATTTTATACAATGATTTTGTTATATGACACTTTTATCCACTTGTGTCTTCATTTGATCTCTGGCTGTATGAGATCTTTTGATTCATTTTCATTCAATTTTCACGCTTTCGGAAATTATTATTAGGTTTTAGTGCTTAAAAACAATTACGTTCCAATTCCACTTAGAAATGTTGTGTCCATTTGTTTGTGTAAAGATTGATAATTGGACATATCCAGTGAAATGTAGCATCATTAAAATGTTGCTTCGATAAGATATTTCACACCTGACAATGTAAATGCGGAACATCCTTCTATAGGGCAGAAGATAAATCTTGATAACAAATTTGGGGTATTTTAATGCCAGATGAGCTGTGCATTGCGGGCTGGCAACAAAGGAATAGATTTATTTGGATTAGTTGGTGGACCTGCTGGGCGTTGTGCTGCGTAAAAAAATATCGTGACAATAGGATCGCCCGTCAGAAACCTTTCTTGTATAAGCGTTTTATTTTATATTGATGTGAAGCATACGCTTTCCGAGTCGAAAAATATGTCTATACGTAAGTTATTTTTTTTAAATACTAATAAGTAGCGGTAATGTTTCCGCAATAATGTAACATCTGAAAATAGTGTTTCCGTGTTTTCCATTTTTTGCACGAACAAGAAGTAAAACTTCTAATAGTTCTAGCGCGACGCGCTGTGAGAAAGTTTGTATAGAGTTTTGTATTAATTAATAAAACTTTGAATGTAGTTTGGATTTGATGCTATTTGGTCTAATAGAATGGTTGTAAATAATATTTAAGTGGAATTGAATAAATGCAATTAAAACAATAAAGATATGAATAAATCAAATTAAAGTTAGAGTTGACAAACAATTGCTCATTTTAGTCACATTTTGGCATCGTCATGTAAAGGCAAATACGTTGTTTGTTTTCACTTTTTTGATATAATTTTGAAAATTTTGAAAACAGATTTCGAAAATTTTGCATATTTTGAATGTTTATGTTAAAGAAACATTTGATTGGCTACTACCTGCCGAGCGCTGATGAAGTCAATGAGGAGGTAACACGCTTCCTCAATGGTTTGACGGCGGAGCTCTATGACATTGGTATACCAAAACTGGAATACCGTCTACAAGAATACGTAGAAGAAAATGGCATTTATGTAGAAAAATCAAGCAAAGTTCTATTTTTCTAGAGATGTTCATTTGAATAAGAATAAACAATGCTTTATAATGTCGAAATCACGAAAGATGACGATTACGTCATCATTTTAGTCTGTAGAAAAGACAAACGACAGCGATTTGTGAATATTATTAATGAAGTTTCAGATATATTAGACAGAAACAAACAGAATTTTATTGTCTAAACAAACTGTATTGCTAATTTGCATGTATTCGACAAAGATAGACGATCTTTTCATATTGCATGATCGATCATATTTGAAAGATGAATAGTTAGGTTATGTTAAATCAGGTTATGTTGTTTTCGAATAATACTTTGGTCTTTGGTGATCCTGTCTTAAAGTATTCTACTCATAATTGTTTTTTCAAAACAAAAACTCCCCACTAAAATTATTATTAAGATATCACTCAAAACCATGAAATAAAATGAAAATAAAAATAACCTAACTTCGCAAAATCATAATATAAATTTGTTGTCATTATGTTCCTGACTCGTGATTTTATCATCGACGTACGTCCATTGATTACTTCAGTGCAATTTATGGTATGACGTAATAGTCATCTTTCGTGATTTTGACTATATGTTTAAAATCGATGGGAATCTTTTTTCTGAATCAACCACCGCAAGTGAGAATTAAACATTTTTATTTTAAATTATCGATGAATGATTCTGATTTTAGTCATATTACACAGATAAAATTTTATAAATTGATTTCCGAATCAATTATTTGTGAAAATACTGAAGTTTTATAAGAATGGTACATGAAAGCCTGCAGAGTACATTTTTCAAATTAATTTGCATCTCAAAACCTCTGACAATTTGAGTTAATTTCGCTCGTGTCCCACTGTACGACGCGCGACGTACAAATTTTTCCAGGACCTGTTCTTAGGACCGTATCGTCAGTCGTTCCTACAATTATTGTAGGATGCCTTTATGGCATGCTTGATTTTCATAGTATTTTCTCTCCTTCGTAAAGGCTGGGGTATTTATAGATTTCCACCATTCCGTATCAGCGTCAGCGCTATCCTATTGTGAGGCTATGTTTTCTTTTTGAATTGTAGAAAATTTCAGGCTGATATAACAGATGATACAAATCAAAAGCATAAACAATTATATGCGAATAGATATTTGTAGCATAACCTCAAAATAGAGCGCTGACACGGAACAGTAGAAAACTATGAAAATTAAGGAGACCGTAAAGGCGTCTCACAATTGTAGGAATGACTGACAATACGGCCCTTAGAGTGATTCGCTGCTTTTCTCGCTGAGGTTAGGTTCCCGCCAGGACTCTTAAAAACGAGAGAGTATACTCACTAAGAGAAAGTGGACGAGTCTGTCTTGTCGGAAAACTGTATTCCTGAACACTGGTAAAATAGTGCATCGTTTTCGACGCTAAAGACGAAGTTGAATTTGTGATAAAAGGTTAATGGTATGAAAAAATTTGATATACATCAAACCAAATATCAAAGGCTGTTAGGAAAGAAAATAGAACAGCTTCTACTAGCTATTCCATTACTCTATTTCAGAATTGGGTCCCTGGTATGAGTAAAATAGCCTTTGCTTTCTGGCATTGGCGGTTTCATATGAAACGTATGATGGTAGCGTTCTCCCGATATCCGAAATGAATACATATAAATGCTGTTAGCTGATTCGTTCAGCGAGTAATACACATTTAAATAGATGCATTAGACTGGCTAGAGAAATATAGGGATTATTGAAATGAAATCTCTTAATGTAAGCATTTCAAATTCCTTTTTTTCAACACAATGAAACCTATTAAAAATCCAATTGGGTAGAGAATGGCCCATTACTTATGATATCACTTACTCTCTTTGATAGATGATGATACATGACTTCCATTTTAATATAGTAGTATTTTGTACCTATTCTAATTGCAATTTAACTTTGTCACTCTCCAACAAATGAGAAATGTGCCTGCACGTATATATACTTGTAGAGACCGAATTGACAAAAACCTGTCAATTTCAAATCTTCTGTAAAAGTCAGCTGTAAACTGCATATTTTTTAGGCCATTGGGGAAACAGTATTCGTCAATATTCCGAAATGACTCATGTGTTCTTTGTCATACCGGAATGCTTCTCAGCCAAAAGCCGATGATCTAGCGTGACCCTTTGTCATATATACCCCAGCATCTGTTTGTTTACAAACACATGCGTATAATTCCATATCACTTGACTGTACCGCCGTTGCCGACAATGTGGGTGGTATTTGAATATAACAAAAGAAAAACTGTTCGAAGCATACAGCATTCCTAGCTCTGCGGTGCATGTTGCTATGTTCCGGGAGAGATCTGTAGCTGCAGATGAATCCAACATGTGCGAGCATCGGTTCCGCCATAATTTTTACTATCTTCTTTATCCTAGATGTGGTCCTCTGTTCCCACTTTGTTATGCAACACGTGCATCTGGTAAGGTTTTTCGGCATGTTTCTCTTGAGAACAAATACATTTGATGTTCTAGAATAATTATCTTGCTGTACATATCTTTTAAAACAAGTTGGAGAAGCTAGTTGTCTAGGAACCTATTGCAACACCATAAATCAATTAAAAAATAGTCTTTTTTCACAACCATGTCTAGGATTTGGACAATCCTAGATTTTTCACAGTACAGCATTTTGTTGAATAAATTATGTAGTTTGTAAAAATTTAAATATGTGTTCAAATACGTACACTACCACCGTTTTTTAGTATCCATATAGAAAAAGTGTTATATTGTACCACCATCTCTGTCCCCAAATAAAATAGTTCTCTTGATAGCTTCTGGGGAGACATGAGCCTCAAAACAAGGCATATAGCAGGAGTTTGCACTGTCATGGTCAAATAATCGTAAATTGAAAAATGGCGCCAAGGAAATTGATTATGCACTTCCCACGCAACGCCGCCATCAGTTCATAAATAATTACGTCCAACGCAAGTTATATCCTCTGAGAAGAAAATTAGTCTTTCTTTGTCCTTCCGGTAGTATTGTCCATCTGGCAACGTCGGCTCTCCCCGATACCTGGCGCCAATATGCGTCAGATGCGGCAGCGCGCCAGGAATGTCAGGACACTTATGAAAACCGGCACGTCCGCCGGTGAACCTAGAGAGCAAAAGCGGGACGCGTATCGAAAACATTTCTCTATCATTCTATGTGTTAAGTGCAAATGTACGGGTAAATCTATGATATGTTAAATCTCTTAGAGGTGCGTGGAGCTAGCGAGGATGGGAACGTATAAATATAATGAAATAAAAAAATTGAGATTCTTTCCTGAAAATGATTAGGAGCCTCTGAAACGTCAAGAAACATGGTTTGAACGATTTATTTTTTTTTTCATTTTTTGCTCCACTGAACCGATTTTCGAAAACTACAAGGATTTTTGCCCTTGGCACAGTAATAACATTATGTGAAATTTTCATCTCCAAATTCTAGCGGTATTTTCCAAGATATAGACAGACCAAATATTAGCAAACAAACCGACAGGCAGACCGAGAGACTGACGGAAATGAATGGCATGGTTTTCCGTGATGTACATATCATATGACATGCACAAAATAACTTCGCATTTTCTAAATTTTTCGCGATTACAATACTTCCTCGCTGGTAGGCACGGGAAGTGAAAAATGAGCAAGAATCTCTGAAACGTAAAATTTGAGTAAGTTTTTTTGTTTGGTTTTTACACCCGTAGCTTCACTAGTAATGGACAGATTATCAAAAACTACAAATTGGCCTAGTATAACATTTTATCAAATTAGAAAACTATGAAAATCAAGAAGGTCATAAAGGCGTCCTACAATTGTAGGATCGACTGACGATACGGCCTTAAATTTCTTCTTACGTTTGTTGCGTTGTACAAAAATACAAAGTTTGGGCATTTTCAGATTCAAAAGCGTCAATTATTTAGAATTTGTGAATGGCCTCAGTGTACCAATCATCATCAATATACTTGCGACTTTAGAAAACCAACACCTGTTCAATCTCCTTCGATTCACCGACCCACAAGTGCATTTTTATAAGTTGTCAAACAGCGGAATAAACAGTTAGATAAATCTCGGCTGACCGACAATATGCGAGGTACGTTTACACAATCTCTGTCCCCAAATAAAATAGTTCTCTTGATAGCTTCTGGGGAGACATGATCCTCAAAACAAGGCATATAGCAGGAGTTTGCACTGTCATGGTCAAATAATCGTAAATTGAAAAATGGCGCCAAGGAAATTGATTATGCACTTCCCACGCAACGCCGCCATCAGTTCATAAATAATTACGTCCAACGCAAGTTATATCCTCTGAGAAGAAAATTAGTCTTTCTTTGTCCTTCCGGTAGTATTGTCCATCTGGCAACGTCGGCTCTCCCCGATACCTGGCGCCAATATGCGTCAGATGCGGCAGCGCGCCAGGAATGTCAGGACACTTATGAAAACCGGCACGTCCGCCGGTGAACCTAGAGAGCAAAAGCGGGACGCGTATCGAAAACATTTCTCTATCATTCTATGTGTTAAGTGCAAATGTACGGGTAAATCTATGATATGTTAAATCTCTTAGAGGTGCGTGGAGCTAGCGAGGATGGGAACGTATAAATATAATGAAATAAAAAAATTGAGATTCTTTCCTGAAAATGATTAGGAGCCTCTGAAACGTCAAGAAACATGGTTTGAACGATTTATTTTTTTTTCATTTTTTGCTCCACTGAACCGATTTTCGAAAACTACAAGGATTTTTGCCCTTGGCACAGTAATAACATTATGTGAAATTTTCATCTCCAAATTCTAGCGGTATTTTCCAAGATATAGACAGACCAAATATTAGCAAACAAACCGACAGGCAGACCGAGAGACTGACGGAAATGAATGGCATGGTTTTCCGTGATGTACATACATATCATATGACATGCACAAAATAACTTCGCATTTTCTAAATTTTTCGCGATTACAATACTTCCTCGCTGGTAGGCACGGGAAGTGAAAAATGAGCAAGAATCTCTGAAACGTAAAATTTGAGTAAGTTTTTTTGTTTGGTTTTTACACCCGTAGCTTCACTAGTAATGGACAAATTATCAAAAACTACAAATTGGCCTAGTATAACATTTTATCAAATTAGAAAACTATGAAAATCAAGAAGGTCATAAAGGCGTCCTACAATTGTAGGATCGACTGACGATACGGCCTTAAATTTCTTCTTACGTTTGTTGCGTTGTACAAAAATACAAAGTTTGGGCATTTTCAGATTCAAAAGCGTCAATTATTTAGAATTTGTGAATGGCCTCAGTGTACCAATCATCATCAATATACTTGCGACTTTAGAAAACCAACACCTGTTCAATCTCCTTCGATTCACCGACCCACAAGTGCATTTTTATAAGTTGTCAAACAGCGGAATAAACAGTTAGATAAATCTCGGCTGACCGACAATATGCGAGGTACGTTTACACAATCTCTGTCCCCAAATAAAATAGTTCTCTTGATAGCTTCTGGGGAGACATGATCCTCAAAACAAGGCATATAGCAGGAGTTTGCACTGTCATGGTCAAATAATCGTAAATTGAAAAATGGCGCCAAGGAAATTGATTATGCACTTCCCACGCAACGCCGCCATCAGTTCATAAATAATTACGTCCAACGCAAGTTATATCCTCTGAGAAGAAAATTAGTCTTTCTTTGTCCTTCCGGTAGTATTGTCCATCTGGCAACGTCGGCTCTCCCCGATACCTGGCGCCAATATGCGTCAGATGCGGCAGCGCGCCAGGAATGTCAGGACACTTATGAAAACCGGCACGTCCGCCGGTGAACCTAGAGAGCAAAAGCGGGACGCGTATCGAAAACATTTCTCTATCATTCTATGTGTTAAGTGCAAATGTACGGGTAAATCTATGATATGTTAAATCTCTTAGAGGTGCGTGGAGCTAGCGAGGATGGGAACGTATAAATATAATGAAATAAAAAAATTGAGATTCTTTCCTGAAAATGATTAGGAGCCTCTGAAACGTCAAGAAACATGGTTTGAACGATTTATTTTTTTTTTCATTTTTTGCTCCACTGAACCGATTTTCGAAAACTACAAGGATTTTTGCCCTTGGCACAGTAATAACATTATGTGAAATTTTCATCTCCAAATTCTAGCGGTATTTTCCAAGATATAGACAGACCAAATATTAGCAAACAAACCGACAGGCAGACCGAGAGACTGACGGAAATGAATGGCATGGTTTTCCGTGATGTACATACATATCATATGACATGCACAAAATAACTTCGCATTTTCTAAATTTTTCGCGATTACAATACTTCCTCGCTGGTAGGCACGGGAAGTGAAAAATGAGCAAGAATCTCTGAAACGTAAAATTTGAGTAAGTTTTTTTGTTTGGTTTTTACACCCGTAGCTTCACTAGTAATGGACAGATTATCAAAAACTACAAATTGGCCTAGTATAACATTTTATCAAATTAGAAAACTATGAAAATCAAGAAGGTCATAAAGGCGTCCTACAATTGTAGGATCGACTGACGATACGGCCTTAAATTTCTTCTTACGTTTGTTGCGTTGTACAAAAATACAAAGTTTGGGCATTTTCAGATTCAAAAGCGTCAATTATTTAGAATTTGTGAATGGCCTCAGTGTACCAATCATCATCAATATACTTGCGACTTTAGAAAACCAACACCTGTTCAATCTCCTTCGATTCACCGACCCACAAGTGCATTTTTATAAGTTGTCAAACAGCGGAATAAACAGTTAGATAAATCTCGGCTGACCGACAATATGCGAGGTACGTTTACACAATTAGAGAATGTGTAAAGTACATTGTATACTGGTGAACAACAAGGCACGAGCTGGTGTGCGCTAAATGGAAAAAGTATTCGACAGTCGGTTTTCGTCTGACCGGTTTCCATTTTCTGTAAACATTTACTCATTAATCACTTTGGGACGACATAGACTCGTGGCATTTTTCTCTCGGAGAAGCTGTTTACCTACGTTACGGTTTGATACAGAATCTTTATGGATTTGGTTCAAAACATAGTCGTGCGATGATTGTCAAAAGAAGTTAATATCAGGTTTGCAAGTTCTGAGATTTGTAATGGCTAGTGTAGCTTGTGACAAAAGAAGGAGAGCGAATTCGGGACACAAAATCATTGCATGACATTTTTGAAGTTGTTAGAAGAACAGCTTCTTCGATGCGAGACCAAAATGTTCTGGCGCAGATCAATATGTACTCCCAAATCATCAATTTAAATGGATGACCGATCTTTGCCACGAAGTCATAGGTCTTGTCTTGTGGAAATTAGAATTACCGAGGATATGATTTGAGACGAACAGGTTTCGCAAATGGGTGCAGATACTAGGAATACGCCGCTGTTATCTGTTACACGTACAGTTCTTAGACTAATCGAGAAAAGCTCATTGATGAGTAGTTGAAAATCTTACCCCTTTCTATTGATATCTGCTATCGAACTCCGTATTCTTATATTATCGAGAAATACGAATGATACACCAATAAGTTCACACGATCCCACTACGCTTAACCAATTCAGATGCTCTCCTTCTCCGCTACTTCGGAATTCACGTTTCGCTTTCATGACTGCTTGAGTCGTGAAAAGGGTGTTGTTGAACATTGTAGACACATCACGTTAAAATATCAGTGCATATTAACATACAAGGTCTGTGAATTAAGCAATGGGATTGGCAACGTAGCGTTCGATCTGGCAACACTGGAGACGCCGAGCTTAGAAGGGAGACAGTGAAACATGTCGTCCGCCTTCAGCACAAGTTTGAACTCGCTCGAGTCATGTGGTTGTCCGTAGCGATTTTTTTTGGGTGTTCTAAAAATGACATCAATTTCGAGCAACGGTGTGCTATCAGGTTTTGCTTCAGTCTTGGGCACAGTGCAACGGAAACTTTTGCTAATCTTCAGCAGGCCTAAAAAGATAGTGTTTTATCAAGAGCCCAGGTTTTTCGGTGGTTTAAGGCATTTTCTGAAGGGAGAGAGTCGATTAAATATAAACCACGAAGCGGAAGGCGTTCATCTTCAAAAACCGGTGAAAATATCTACAGAATCCGGGATAATTAGCAAAAAAGCAATGTCAATACTATTAGCCGAATTGAGTCTACTTAAGAAATGCCCCTTGGATATTTCGTTGACACGTCACCGATAAGTAGTACCTAGGTACAACTCGTCAAGTGTAGGAAGAGATGCGAATTTTTGAATAATGTCACGCATTCTCGGAGCGCAGTAGCTAGCGGCTCAATTCGAGGGACGGTAGTCTCTTGTCGTGTCCAGACTAGTTATCGTACAGTCAGGAAAAAAAATTTCAGGCAGTGAAACAAGTTTATTACTTAGTATCTGTGAATTGTCTGTATTGTTACTAATTCGTGTGTTGAATACGTACAATTTTACGCTGTAAATTGTCGCCATTTATTCCTTGGTGTGCTAAGAGATTTAGGGCCAATTTCACCAACATTAATATTTAACGGTCCCTTGGACCAATGGGCAGATACCTTGTCGAAATGCAATTTGACGGAAGCTGTCTAAGGTCTCTGAATTTCAGTGATTTCTATTGAAATGTTGAATAAAGTCGTGGATAAACGGTTGCATTATAAATAAGAGTACATTATAGATGTAATATTATGTCTTTGAAAAAGACGGTCAGTTATTTAAATGGGCCAATGAAAATGCGAGAAATAATAGGTCGATTTTCTAGCTATTTATATTATATTTGGTAGGATGTTTTCACTGTTTTTGGCGACTGTTCATGTATGGCAATCTAGTTTTATCTGTATATCACGTACAGGGTGTTGTACATAACACGTACCTGTAGAAATGTACCAATTTTTGTTATTTTGCAAAAAAAAGGATATAAAACATATTCCAACTGGTTCATCATCTTCTGTTACATCAAAAACAATTTTTGCCAATTTATGATCTACACAAAAAAGAGTGCTATTGATTCAAGAGCATGAGATTCTATGAAATTACGATATTGATTCGAGATAACAGATACTTCAAATGAGGTAATTTCGTTGTTTTAAAGAAACTTTGCACTTACAATT